CCCCCCGAAATGATAGGAATAGTGTCCTAAAAATTCTAGGTGGAGCTAGATGTTGGATATCATGCTAAGAAGCTACTGAAGCTACCTAATGCTACTGCCTTATTAAAAAAAAAAAAAGTTTTAAACCAAAAAACTAATTTCCTGTTGTCTGTAAAATCAATTTCCTTTTCTGTATTTACTCAACTCAAACCAGATGTGTTTTCATAACATAAATGGTTTGGTGTTGTGTTTGGTGCGTATGCAATGTGCTGATGGTGCTTTCCAGCCGTGTTCTGTTCTTGCATGAGCAATCTGAAAGGATGTATTTCTTCTCACAATGGGTATCTTGTACAGCAGAGGGGCTAAAGACCACCTGAGAGTGCATATAACTGTCCTGGGCAGAAGCAGATGATATTTTTGTTAGGGTTCAGTGTTACAAGTAATCAGTGGATATTAAAAAGATGTTGAATTAGGTACGGATGGTTGCGTAGTGGAAATATGTCCGAGGTCTAACTAGCCTGAGGAAGTTTGTCCTCAAAATCCTGGGTATGTTAAAATCCATTTGAATGCCTTCAGAACAGCTGTTGATGCAATGTGCAAAGCCTAACCACTTGCCTACAGTTAGTAAATGTGATTAGTTGCATTTCTATGAGTCTCAAAATTATTTTATATTATCTCTTGTTGAAATCACAAGGAAGTTAAGCTAATTCAGATCTGTAAGTGCAGTAGTATATACAAATGCCTAGTAAAATTGAAGAAAACTGTAGCCACTGATACTGGGACTTAGCTGCTTATCACAGGGGAAAACTTCAAATTGACAAATGCCTGGTGAAGAAACATAAGTAAAAGAAAGATAAATTGTTTGGAAAAAAATACCTAATATTACACACAAAAGCTGATGCTTTGCTACCAGTATAACACCTTGTGTGAAACTGTGAAGTGTATACTGTAGGGTATTCTGTAGAGTGATACATCCTTCTAAGATTGGGGGGGGGGGGGTATGCACAACACACCAAACACTCAATGAAACAGTAAAATTATTAAACCATTTAACTCCAGTGCTGTTGATGAATGATGTGGGGGTTTCCCCTACCTGCCTCAGAATTAAGGAAAAAACCCAAACAATTCTTCTGTGAATATATGAAAAAAATTAAAAAATCAAGACCATTTCCATTTTGGGCAGATTTTAAATTGTATGGGTCAGGGTGAATCATCATTTGACTGAGACAAATTTGACCAGAACGCTACCAAGTGGGTGTTTTGTTAAAGATGTTAAGGAGCTGAAGTAGTATTGTGTACTATTGATAATAAAGCAGCTGGGCTTTCAGTGGAACTCATAATAAGAACAGCACATAAATACCATGCGTCTTCATTGCGGAGAAGCGTTGCACAACGCAGATTATTTTGTTCAGTTAAAGCCTGTAGAAATTGTAAGAAAACTGTCATAGAGAGACAAAGTGGGTCATAGTCATCACTGCACAAGGAAATACGGGGAATTCAGAATGTCAAGCTGATCATCATTCAGAAAATGACACGGAACCAGTGTAAGATGCTGTAACTCCTCTACAACTCTGTTTTGAAAAATAACCTTAATTTTTTTTAGTTCTTGAACTATCAGAAGTTAGAAGTGATTTCAGTTATGTCTGTTAATTGCTGTAGAATTTCACAACAGGCTTATTAACAACTTTGCAATAATTGGACAGACAGAGAAGTAAAATCCTTCTTCCAAGGGTTATGGAAAATGAGTAATCGTACCAGGCATAGATTAAAATCTCTTTTATGAAGTAGGGTGTTGCTGCATGATTTTACGCAGATCAACTGCGAGAGATTAAGCTGGACTGAAAAAATAGGAAATGCATGCAGATTTTAAAATAAAAAAGGTGAGGGGGTGGTGGGGAATAGCAGCGAGCTTAAATTTAACATCCGGGGAAACAAAAAGGAGAAGTTCTTAAACTTTGTAATGCATTGTGCCACCAGCTGATCAGTAGGAGAGGACATGAGGGGCTCGGGCAGCGTGCCTGCCGTTCCCCGCAGAGGAGGGACGAGTGGCAGTCCCGATTCTGAATGAGACAGGGGACTCCTTCTCAGCTTGCCAGGTCATCGTTCATCTGGTGTTGCCCTGGGATCACAGCAATTGCCCAGGACAGAGAAAAACGTGTTAACCTTGTGAGTGGGATACAGAGTGTTTGGTCCAAGACCAAAACATCCACCGAGATTTGTTTTGATATGTCAGATTAATGCTCAAAATAGCCTTCATGGTTAAAGGCTGGTTCTTATTTTCATGGTGTTCAGAGCACCAAAAGACACTTAGATAGCTTGCTGGAGTTGCAATAAGCCAAAGAAGTGATGCCAGAATGATCTTCCTGGGCCTGTCTGAATCTTTGCTGGAGGTAGTGCCTTAAGGCACGGGTAAGGACCGGTGCAAGATGGCCATGGCGTGCCCGGTGCTGCCGTGAGGAAGGGCGCTTGGACTGCCAGCTCCTGCCAGCCTTCTCTTCTCAAAAAGAGCACTTCAGCTGTGTCACCAGGCTGGTGGCTACTGCAAAGCTCTAGCCACACGTGCTCAAGGAATGGATGTGGAAGTCACTTGAATAAAAGTACCAGCTGGAGTTTTCTGCAGTAACCAAGGAGAATTGCTTGTATGTACAGACATAGGTTTTCAAAAATGCAATGCCTATCACAACAAGGCCCTTTGTATTTTAGGGAGTGACGGCTACTCCGCAGAGACCTGGATAGACACATTGGGAGGAATCCATATTTTATTGCAGTACATTGCCTTTCTGGTAGCCCTAAAGAATACTTCAGACCAGAGGCAAATCGTTCAGTACAAATGGTGTAAATGTTAACATTTGTTTTCAAGGCAGGTATTCCTGTAGGTGACAAATAAACACAATTCCCATTCAAAGGAAATGAGGTTTTATTAAAAAGCAGGAAAGTCCATGTTGCTGCTTTTACTTGCTTACTGATGTACTCTTCTTAGTGCAAAAGAAATTAAAAGACCGAAACATCAGAAAAAATAAAAATTAACAAGATGAAATACTGTAAGCCAGAGAACGAGTTTTTGGTAATCTAAACTAAATGTTTGATGTTAAAAACTCAAGATCAGCAACTTATTACCATAACAAATGTATTACATTATGGCAAGTGATGCTAGCTATAAAATATCTAATGTTCTGAATTTCAGATATACTATTTGTACTTCTTATCTGTTCCCTATAAAGACAAAGGTACCGATTCATGATTTTTTTCCCTATTGTTTCTTCAACATTCAGTTGGTATTCTGCAAAATAAAATGAAATAGTTGATGTTCAGAATATGCTGTATTTAAGTAGCTGCAAGCTGATATTTGGAAAAAGGCATGGGATGTTAGCTCTACAAAACTCCTATTTACTGCGTTTATGGAACTTCTAATGAAGCCGTTTAGTTAACTGTCGTTAATATACATGTAGCTTAGTATAGGACACAATTTGTAACAACAAAGTCCCTGCAGACCTCAGCCAGCTGAGCAGTTAAGGTGTGTGATGATGGAGACCTCCAATGAGAAGGTTAGAAGAACATGGTAAGAGAGAATTTACTCAAAAGTTAACATGTAACTGCTGGATGATGTGTTCAGTCTCCCTGCAGAGCGTATCAGTATATAAACATATTACCTGTGACAGACTTTTTATACAGATAGATTGCTTTATTCTTAAGAAGTACTGAAAAATGGCTGGTTGGCAATCATACTACACCGGAATCTCAGTTAGGATATTTCTTCATACCCATGACAAGGTTATGTGGCGTGTATGTGTACTGTCCTATGGTGTTGATCAGACTAGGACGATTTCAGTGGATTATTTACTATTAGTATCTTGCACATCATGAATAGTTTGAGAAATATCAGAAAATAAAATTAGGGTATCTTCAAGAGAATATACATGTTGGAGAATACTTACCTTTGTCCAAAGACAGGCAAAGAGCTCATGTTTATAGTTTTCTGCCCCAGGGTTGGGAGGAGTCAGATTTTCACTGGAATTCGGCTTGCAAACTTTTACTTGCATGATAAAATTTAATTGTCTGATAGATACTGTTGTGTTGTTTCAAACATATGTTAGGCAGGTACTTCATGCTTTGTGAGCCTTGACTGCTTCCCCCTCGTTTATGCCAGTGAATGGAAAGACAAGAAATTATCTCTCTAATTTGATTCATAGAAACTGTGAGTGAAGCCTTGGATGTTGCAGCTTCTTCTGCCCAGGAGGAAAACTTAGACAGTGTCAAGGAAGGAGTAGACTCAGCAGCTCAAGACATATCTGACACACCCTCAAGGAACCAGGACGTTGATGCTGAGGAGTCGGGACAAGCTCCAGAAGGTGCAGGAGCACAGCTGGGTCTGAAACCTTTTGTCTCTGAAAAGCACTAGTGGCTGTTTGCACTGGAGTAGCTGCAAGAACATGCAGAACTCAAGTGATGCAATGTGGCTGCTAGCAATGACTGTGTTTGGCATCGTAGGGTTAGCAGAAAATTTAATTTTGAAATTATATGCTGTGCAGTAGAAATAGGTGTTGCTAAATTGGATCGTGGTGCTGCTTTGAGCTCAGTGCCCTGCTGAGTGGCTGGATGTAAAGCTCATTAAGAAGGAGAAATTCTCCCTTGTGCTGCATGTGATGTAACACACTTTTTTTAAACATCTGACTTAATTTGAGAGATAGAATTGTCTTGAATTACATGCTGTAAAGAAAAATATAGAGCATGTGGTATTAATGAATCTTGAAGTGTTTCCATGAAGTTACAAATGATCTTATATTGATATTAAATTTGAATGATGTAATTGAATGCAAAGAAAAATGTGTGTTAAAATCATCACCGTGGAGATTTTCAGACGAGTTTAGAAGTTTGGCCTCTAAACTCTTTTACAATTAGAATTAAAAAGCTAAAAGGAAAAATGTCTGTACATCTAATATGACTTTGTAAGTTGTGTCCCTTTAGTCCAGAGGATCATTTGGGACTAAAGGAAACAACTTACTCAACTATGTCGTCGAGTAAGTTGTTTCCAATGTTTCTCATTGGTGTTTTGTCTCTATTTTTAGTTTCTGTGGAGGAGGAGACACCTGAAGAAGTTGCTAAGGAACCCTAAAGGTACACAGTACAATTGCAACATGTGGTTTCCTGCTCTTCACCCTTCTTTTTTTCTCAGTTAGTGGCAGTTGCAGCATGTGGTAAGTCTGCATGTGCAGTCTGATGGTGAATTTCTATTTCTGCTTCCAGCAGAAAAGAACTTAACTGAAGTCTTTCTTATTATTTGGGAATGATTGCTACATCTTTTAGAGGCTTTTCAAAACTTTTCTATATTAGCTGTTACGCTATTTATTTATGGCTTTATCTTAGTCCCATGCAAACTGGATAAAGACCATAGAGTTGTAGCTTTTTTTCTAGGCAAAAAATGTTAGTTGGACATTGGTTTAAATTACATAGATGCTGGACTTCTGGGTTATTGCCCTATACAAGTGAACTCTTCTTATCCTCAGTATAAATCTGGTGAAGTTGTAACCAGCTGGACTGTTTTTTGTTGAAGACATTTTTTCTTGTTTAGTCTCTCTGCACTTTTATCTTGTGCTAATGAAAAATACTGAATAAAATATTCTTAATATTTTGCTAGTATCTTGTTCAGCTGGCTTTATAACTTTATAGAATAGAATACTTTGTCCACAATATTCTTACTATTTTGCTATTCCCTGTGACTCCCCTTTCCAAAGTGGACTGTAAGATGGTAATAGAAACCTGAGAGAATCAAAAGTTTGGCTGAAATATGAACATGAATCTTGGTAGAAAAGATATTAACTAGAATAGAAACAACTGAAAGGCGAGCAAATAAACATCCCAGGTCAGGAATTCTCAGAATTCTTTTTGCTGCTAGTTAATAATTCATACTCTAATTTTTTGGAGCACCAGTGCAAGAGGAGAAGGAAATGGAGCAAAGAAAGTTATTTTTCATTGCATCCTCAAAACATGTACTCTAAATACACTTACACAACCTTATCATTATATTCTGAGTCCTTTTCAAATGCATGTTTGCTTATTGTAACATCCACTGCAATATAAAATAAGGTAATGCCCTTTTTGTGATAAAAGGTAAATGTTGTTCTTAAACTGCGTGTCTTTTTGCATGTTTTTTTAGCATTCAAAACTAAGAAAAAAAAATTAAAGCAAAGCCAAGCCCACAATTATAATTTGCAAAATGCTAGTGTAAGATATGTTCCTCTACCAAATACAATTTTTGTGTTTTACTAGGAGTAATGATGTGAAGGGGACCAAATATTTAAGGAATGTGGGTGAGATGTGCAGAAATGTTGCAATAATAAGCCTCTCAAAGCTGTTATTTTCGCTCAGAGTGAAAGCTAAGGGCACCTGAGGATATCACATGAGAAAAAGAAGTTACTGAGAAATTCACTCCGCTCTGGGACACATAAATGCAGTGACATAGAGAAGGCAATAGAGTGATGAATCTCTATTTTTCCCTGTAAACATCTTGCAACCCTAAAAATCATTTGCATTGTTATTCCAGATTTTGATTTAGACAATAAATACGCAATATGTCCTAATTCAGTTAATGAAGGCAGAGATGGTAACTGAAAGGGGTGGGAGTGGGAGGGAAGGCAAGCTGTAGGAAGCACCTTTGATGGAACAAACTGAAAATAGGTGAAAAATAGATGAATATGCTACCATAATATGCATCCATTGAATTCTGCTTAAACTGCTCAGGCTCTTTTTGACCAAAAAAAAGTATTTTCATGAATATAGCATCATAAGGTTACTACATTTCAATTCAGTCTTGTAGGGGGGAAAATAAAGAGAAATGTTTATAAAACATTTTACTAATGCTGGAAGTTTGCTGCTGGATTGAAAGCCAACCCATTTACAAGTCAAGAGCCACAATGCATTCCCAGTTAGGAAAGAACTAATCTTTTTTTTAGTGTATGTTTTGATTGTAAGTACTTAGGGTACAAACCTTAACTTTAAGTTTGCATTAAAAGAAATCATATTTTGGGGGGAATTAAATGTAAAAAAAAAATAATGTTGAAATGAGAATCAAATTAGTATCCAGTTAATTTAAAAAAAAACCCCAACTAATTATTTGGTGAAGGGATAGAAGCAATAGTAATGGATGAGATCCTCAGATGAAGCCTTGAATTGATGCTGAGAGCATGCCTGAGTAAGAATATAGTATTGTTCCCCTTTCTACTGTGTGTGGCTGTTGGTCCCAAATTCCCACTGCTATAAAGCTACTTATATCAGTACTCTCAGCAAACACAACTGGTTTACCTCTTGCCTAAAGTTAAGCAAGTAACTATTTGTAAAGTACAGCTTAGTGGAACGTGCCCAGCATGCAGGGGAATTAATTTATACCTGAGCAACATGGCTGAAGATGAGGGATTCCTTGAAACTGGGCTTTGTTGGTGATAGCAGAGCAAGTTTTCACAAGCCATCAGATAAGCACGATTTATGCAGCAGTAGTGTTTATATGCTGTAATTCACTTAACTGATAACCTCCAGTCAAATTTATGGTGTGCTTGGAATGTTTGCAAAGAAAAAGACCTGATGAATCAAGTCTGTTGCTAAACATCATTTATTGTTGCTTCCTCTAAACCAGGTTCTCTTTTCTTTTTCCCAGTAAGCAGTGCTGAAGCCTTTGAAAACTTTAATGGAAATACTTGTGGCAATCATCCATCTGATTCCTGTGTGAAACCTCATACTCTTCCTTGGAGACGTAAAAGAAATTGTGCAGTTTGTCATACCACACAGTGCTCATTAGGACCAGTATTCAGTGCTGCAACAGACATCCTAATATGATTTAAGTTGGTTAGAGAGACGCTTCTGTGATTAACATCTCTGCTTTAGAAAGTAGCATTCAGTAATAACTGTCAGAGCACCATCCAGCATGTAATAGATACACGTGCTAAGAGATGCAGTAGACTTAACTGAGACCACGTCAGGCGAACTTGTTCCAGGTCTTTGTTGTCTTGTTATGTACGTCGATTTCTTACTTTTGGTCCAAACTGTGGTGCATAATTATACCATTGTAACATTCCATGCTAAAATGTAAGTAAAAGGTTTTAACTATGTTAAAATCTTACACAAATTACCTGTTAGTATTTTTAATTTCTAACAGGTAATTTAAATTCTAACAGAGTCACGGAGAAAATAATAACCTTGTTTGCTCCCAAGTTTGGATTTGCAATTGTAAGCATAGGACATCTGGATGTATAAGATCTAATTTTCCCTGTGCATAAACATTTTAGATGCTACCCTTCCTTGCACAGTAATATCCAGGAGTAAACATTTTTAAGGCTCCTGCTTTGTGAACAAAACCCATTTGCAAGTAGTAGCAATAGGTACTTTATAGCACAAAACCCCAAGTAACACCAGCTGAAGTTATTATCATCATTGATCAAAGTGGTGGCTCCTACCTTGGGGCTGCTGGGCCCCATTCCCACCAAACCTTACTCAGCTTGCTGTAGTCTTTCTGTGTTGTTCTGTCTTAGCAGTGGCATGCAGCAGTGGCGTAACAACACAGAGGTTTGAGAGACCACTCTTGTACAAATCACGAGCAATTTAGGCTATGGCAAAGCTCCTCTCTGAGCGCTTGCAGGTGGCCAGCAACATCCCTGTGGAAGGCTATGCCACAGGTGTTCAAATGGACAAGGATTCTTAGGGACTAATAAAGAACAGAATAGCTAAATAATCTTGTCTTGTTAGTATTATCTTAACAATAAATGAATAATGCTCTCCTAACACTCCACTGTGTGTTGGGCATGTGCATGAGTGTGCATCTACTACGAGACTTTCACTGAGACCCTCACCTGCTAAAAAGCATTACAGCCATCACAGAATGGTGATCATTCTAAACCAGAGCCAAATAAGGTATATTATACACAATGCATATAGAAAGTGTGAATTATAAGGTGGATCTGACCGCTTTCTGTTCAAGGAGAACTTTGGAAAAATGTTGAAAGGGAAATTACAGCATTATGACATTCCTACCCATGGCACAAAGAAACATGGGCTCCTTCCCCCATCGTAAAGCAAATTATAATAGTGCTCCAACAAAAATACAGCCTATTGCCCCTGTACCTGCTTAGGAATAACTGGAATAATGCAGAGGCAGAGTCAGGCTCCTGAGCTTCAAGAAGCCACACCACAGCCTTCTGCTTAAAGGATAAAGCCACTGTGATTAAAAGCAATTTTTGTAGACAAAGCTGCTGAAATAAAAGTCTTAGACTGATACTGTGTTGGATGGGAGTCTATCTTTATCTGGCAGATTAAACATCCTATGATGGATGCATATTCTTAAACGTTCTATTCATTGTCACTAATTCCTAGTGAAAGGAGCTGTTTCTAATTTCTGCAGCTGGCAATAGGGTTTCTGAAATTGTAGGCTTTGCTCAATGTCCCTTTATCTCTGAAACTGCTCTGGTACATGGCAAGCCTGAAGAATTGAAGCACAGCCTATGGTGCACTTTCCAAAGCTTCTAATCTTTCTGATTTCAAAAAATGTTGGAGTCTCAGGATAGCCTGTATTTTTTTTTTTTTTTTTTTTTTTTAATTTAAATAAAGACTCTACTTTTGAAATCCAAAGGAAGTAAGAATATATTCTAAACTCTAGCTGTGATGACATGTAGCACAGCAGGGTCTGCTTCAGCACTTGATTATCCTAGATTAACAACAGAGATATTTAGCAATTTGCAGAAGGCTGCTCTTCAAAATAAATAGCTAAGAACTACATGCAAAATGCCTTGTTGCTTAACCAGAAATCCTTTGTCTTTACTGGTTTAGGTTGTCCCTGGCCATCATCGATCGCTTTTATCAGTCACTCTAGTATGGAGTGTAATTACCACATAGATTAATGTTTTTCTGTCCTTCACCTCTGGAAAACTGAATATTTGAGTCACTGCACAAAGACTGTGATAAGCCATAGAAAATGGTGAAAGGGTATTGGCTTATTAAGGGGAACAAGACCACAGCAGAGAGAAGAGATAATGCAAGACTAAAGGAGATGAGGGGGAAGAGGTTTGTTCTTGACAATACATTTAAAAGCTCAAAGTGAAACTTGAGATTCCTGAATTTGCCCAAACTACAAATTGCTCCTCTGCAGTCAGCAAGTTTCTGTGAAAATAGCTGGCAAAGCGTTTCACCTCCCTCTAGCGCTAGTTCATGTGAAGGATGACAGCCTCCTGCTGCTAGCAGCAATTCACTTTAGCTGAAGTGCTGGAGACAGATGAAGTCCATCTAATAATTTCAGTTTTGTTCTTTGCCCATGTTTGCCAAAATAGAATTTAAATTTTATTTTCATTTGCTTCTTAAAACCATATACCAATTACTTAGATCTTTCAAACTGCAAGTTGGTACTCAAAAATTGGAAAAATCCAAGAGTGAAATACTTTAAGCAAGATTTCTTGTGCCTCTGTGGCAAGCTTTGATGATGTGATAAAATACAACTTTTGATTTTTTTTTCTGAAAAAAAACCCAACCACAAAACCACAACAAACCCAAACTAAGCCAAAAACCGAGGCTGTGCTTTTTTTCCCCCCACTTGTTGGTCTCTCTCCTTTCTGCGTCCTCATAAAATTTTGAGCCAACTAGCCAACCCCAACTTCTGTTCTACCAGAGGTGAGGAGGACACAAAGTTCCTACCGCCTGAATGACAGCTGAGGAGATCGACAGCTTCCTTTGTTGTGTTTCCCGGCAGATGAGCAAACGCACATATATGATGCAGCTGAGTAACATCTTGGTGGCCATAATCAGCTACTGCAGATGCGGTTTTCTCTCTGCTGGTGGTCGGGGGGGGGTGAAAGACTGAGTCAGTGGTGCTGCAGGAGCATGCTCAGAGGGCACAGGCATGTGGGGGGAGACGTGTGGGGACAGAAGGTATTTTGTGTGAAAGGACACGGGGGCTAGTGTCCTTGGTCTGCCACCCATGGATCAGCTCATTTCCACGGAGTGCTGCCCCCGTTGCCACACAGACAGTTCTGCTCTTAGGAAAGGTAGTTGTCAATTGTGCGCTTTGCTCTCGCCCTGCTCACCTGCTGCAGAAGATGGAAGGTGCGCAGGGTGATGGAAATGAAGTCCGTCCCAGAGCGACAGGCATCATTGCGGGTAACTGGATTCTCCTGCATTCCGGTCTTTGCCCCTTGGTTTGGGATGCTGTGGCAGTCGCTGCCCCCTCCAGCTTTATTGGGATGGGACGAAGAGATAAAACTGGAGGCTTCTGTACTGGAGTTGTTGCTGCCATTTGGATGAATGAGAGGTAATTAAACAGGTTGTTGGGGAAAAAAAAAAAAAAAAGCATGATTTGCTTAGTGGTTTAATTATCTGCAAATGTTCTCCACTTCCTCTTGTCATTTTGCCAAACTCAGATGACGGCTTTAGCAATCTCTGAAAGGCTGTTTGCGATTGACATTCAACAGCTCTTGTATAACAAACAAATGGGCAGCTTCCGTGGAATACAAGACTTTTCTTCATGTGGTCGGTTAATTATTTCTATCAGCTTTCTGTGCAGATTCAGTATCTCTTAATTACCTAAAAATCTTGCTTAATACTTTTCCTTATTTTAAACCTCCGTGATTTAATGATCTTTCGCAAGGCAGATGTATGAGCTCTGCTTGTGCCCTAGGCAAAGCGTTACGCATTGCTACAGGTTCCGTGCTGCATCTCAGGAAGTTTGGCTGCCTGTACTTTGTCTTCTCAGTTCAGCATTGACTGCAGTATGCAACCCAATTAAATTAAGGGGAAAAATACAGAGAGTAAGTGGAAAGGGAGAGACGGTAATATGTATCAAGATCATATTTCCTCTTTCCCTCTCTGTGATTACATTAAATTACTGAGGTCTGTGGAGGTTCATTGATCACCTTCCCATAAGGTGATACCTTTTTTTTCAATTTTTCTTTTCTTAGCTTCTTTCTTCCTGCGTAAGGCTATCTTCTTTCTCAGTAGGTACTGGGAAATGTTATTCTCCAGTGAGGGCTAATTGAGAAGAATTAACCATTGGGCAACATGCACTCATATTGTCAAGCAGAAGAGGGCACTAAATCAAAAGCAGTATGATTACTAAAACCTAGAACAGAGAAAAAATCCCCCATCCTCAAAACCTGGAGCTGAACAATACGGGAAGAAATGAATAATGTATGCTTTTTTTTTTTTTTTTTTTTTTTTTCTGAAGTTTAATTGTGGTTTGGAGAAAATCCAAATCATACAGATCCTTTTCATTCCACTCTTGTAGTAAGGGACTAATTTCCAATGCAAAGTATGTGGTGCCGAGGCTGTTCTAATACGAGAGGAGCCAAACCTGGAGTAACTGTTCAGGGTTTGACAGTTCTTGCCAATGGGGACACAATGAGACTGGGTGTGAATGTCTTTGTTTCCATTTAAATGATTAATGAAGTTCTATAAAATCAAAATCACTGCAGTCTTGCCCCTTTTTACTTATTACAACTATCAGCAGTAGAAGGAGGTCACACAAAGTATTCAGTCCTGGTTATAAACAGAGAAGGACGTTGAAGTGTTTGAAGTAGTTATTTTATGAGGAAAACAGTAATGGATTGATTTCTACCCCCTGCCCATTTGCTTTCAGCATGTCTCTTCTCAGAATCTTGTCTTCTGTACCAGGTCTGAGATAGCCTCACTCAGGCACTGTCCGCATGAAGACATTTACTAACTGCAGAGCTTGGATGTCCCTAAATGAAATGCTGAAATATTATGCTATGAAAGATGTATTTGTCTTTGAGGACAATTCTTTTTTTCATTTTTTCTTTAAAGCAAAAACAGTTGAAAACAAGCTAGATAGTCTCTGTGAGAAATTTCTTCTCACAAAACATCACGGTTTCCAAAGGGTTTTCCTATATCAGAAGCATCCTTTGTAGACATTCTGGTTTCTGCTGTTTCTAAATTAGGAAAATAAACATGCCATATACATCGCATGTATTTTTTGAGTGAAAATGAGGTAAAGTCCTCTTTCACACTCATTCTGACTTAGATCCTTTTTTTCTAAAATATTTCAACTGCTGTATTTTAATGTATATCTAACAGCAACAAACTGCTACAGACTTTCTTCCTTTATGTCTGTGTAATTCCTTCTTTCTTAAAGCAACGCAAATTTATTCAGGGATAAAATCCTGACTGAAACAGGCTTGTTTCAGCATTGCATTAGTCCCCAGCTCTAATCACATAACTCCCATGTAATTAGTGGCATTAGAACCCCTGCAATGCTGAGGATAAGAAGCTCTTGTGCTTACCTACTTTACAAACCAAGTAGCCTTGCAGCTTTAAGGAAAGGAGTGTGTGTTTGTTTTTTGGTTTAAGGTTTTATTTTATTTTATTCTAACTTATATACCATTAAGGGAAATTATAAAGGAGACAGAATGAATTCAGAGAAGATTAGAATTTGACATGTGATTTAAAGGACTTTACTGTAACATATTATCTGCTTTAGTAGCCTACAACATGAATAAAATCAAGGGGTAGATAGGAAGCTCAAGTGAGTTTGAGTTAAGCTGACACTAGCCCTGTGTCTTCATAGCACAGAAACCTTGTATTCAGGGGCAACAAGGAGTCTGAAACTTTGCCTTAAAGCTGTCAGATCTGGAATTCTTCACAGATGGAGCCTTTATTTATCTGGTATTTATCCTTGGCAAAAGAAATACGCAAATCATCAGATCTGTAGACCTCGAATTAAGTCCCATATCCCTGTAAAAATAACTCCAAAAGCTGGTGAGCTATGCTTGTGCATGCCAAGTTAACCTGATCACCAGCCTGGGGTCAGGAAGGCGTATTCCCCCCTGCCCTGCAGGCAGGAACAGCTGCGGGAGATGGGATGCCTGTCCCTCTAAAGTGTGAATACCGATTTGCTTTCTAGTATCAACTGGTTGTTTGACCAGCACCTTGCAGTGGCAGGGATGTAAAACACTGGTGCCATCCTCCACGACTTCTCTGTCATATATTTTTGTACCTTTTGTACAAAGTATTATAGGACTCAGGGAAACATTTGTCACTTTGTCATATATGAAATAGATATCCAGTGGCCCTTTCTGGACTTGGTGTTTGCAGTGTTGCTACCAGGAGTTGCCTGGGACTGGTACAAAAGATCTGTTCCTGATATCAGTAGTGTGCCAAAATAGCCGTCTCCGTTTTGTATCTGTCCAACTTGGCCCACTGCAAAAACCCCCATTGGCAGGATAGATGAAAAACTCTGCTCTCCTGACTTTAGTGTCTGCTCTGCACTGGGGTACAGC